TTTGGGAATTTAGGGTGGGACAGGACCATTGGGCCCACACAATGGGAAGACACTTCTGATACGTGCAAGAATACCTCTGAAGTCATACCTTGGGACTGCAAAGTAAGGAAGCATTTCAACTTCACGAACAGAGGGTCAAATTAATCAAATGTTTGAATTTGCACAGACCTCTCGTTCAGGATTAGGTTGGTAAATATATACCTAACAGGGGAAACTGTGAAGTGTTCACACACACCAGAGGATGTTAATCTAGGAAAGGTAATTGTTGAGAGACACTAGGCTATCTCCTAGTCAGAGAGAGAGAGAGAGAGAGAGAGAGAGAGAGAGAGAGAGAGAGAGAAAAGCTTTTGTGAAAACAGGGGAAAATGTGAATGAAACTAATTGGGCCTTTCTGAACGCTAATCGTGAAAGGAGTTAGAGATTTGGCTGACCCTTCCAGAAAAGCAGAAGCTGAGAATCCAACATGAATCCAATTAACTAGGATGCGATTTGCTTTGCTGAGATCTGTTTTCATTCTTTCAAAATGTTCCAAAACTGATACCAGATTGTCTGGAGGAATGAAGGCTCGGTATGCAGAAGACACTCAAAAAGCGTTGGCTTTAACAATTTCAGCTTGTCAGGAAGCAAAGTTGGCTTAATCCCATCCCCTGTGTTTGAGTCAAATGCAGGGATTCATTTTTAATTCCATAATCCCGGATTCTTGAATAAATGATGGGACCGTTGACTGATTGGTGCCCCAGTTATGGCTGCGTTCAAGCTTACATTAGAATGTGTATTTCTCTACCATTTTTGAACAAGAATGAAGGAAGATAATATTCCAGGTTTCCCTTGCATTCCGGAAAGGTGAGACATTTAATCAATCTCAGTTATGAGTATAGTTGTTCAACCAATTTCGGCCACATGGCTTAATAATAGGAGCTAATGATGCAATCGTCCCAGGTTAAAATTAGAATCATAAAAAGAAGCAATAAAAAGCTCTCAGGTCAGTTCATTTCACCCCAAGACAGAAGCTGCAAATTTCTCCTATTGTTTGATGAAGCTAATATAGGGCTTGGAGGATACATGCTGAATTATGCCTGGTAATAATTATCACTCTCGCTGAAGGATGTTTGAGAATGGAAACTGACCTAATATAATTTCAGCACCCTGGACAGCAGATGGCCTGGCTCAAAACCTAAGCAGGCTTAAGCTCGGTTGCTATTTGGATGGGAGACGGGCCAGGGACCCCGCAGCTGTCGGATAGATTGGGGAACCAAAAACACTTCAAAAGAAATGAACATCAAATCACTTCAACACTCATTGTCCCCCCCAAAATGCAAGTAAGGTCAGATTTCCATTTTATGAAATGTGAATGAAACTACTTGGGCCTTTCTCTCTGAATGTTCATCGTTGGCTGACCCTTCCAGAAAAGCAGAAGGTGGAAATCCAGCAAGACAATTGTGGAGTGAGTTTTGTCCCATCTCATGATGTTTCTTGCCACAGTTGTTCAGGAGTTGTTTGTTAAAGTAAATAAGTGAATTTGGCTTCCCCATTGACTTGGCTTGTCAAGAGGGTTGCAGATGGCAATTACATGACTCTGGGGTGGCAATGCAACAGTCATAAGTACCTGCCAGTTGCCAAGCATCTGACCTGCGATCACGTCACCGCAGACTCCGACAGGGGCATGAGAGAGCAGTTATTTTGCATTTTGATCCTTTGTCTACATTTCTCTCGTATATGTAAGAAATGTCTCACTTTAGCGACAGAAATGTTGGGCCCAATGGGATTGCACGTTGAGGGCTACCTGTAATCCATACACAGATTGGGGTGGTGGCTTAGGTTTCTTGATGAGTAGATCCTTTCGATCCACCTTTGCATTTACAAAAAAAAAAAGATCCTCCCAATGTCCCCTAGTAACCTTCACTGGAGCCCACACCCTTGTTGGAGGCAAGAGATTTTGCCCGGCCTGGCTGTGGTGACCTTGGGGAAGCTCATCTGTATGCAAAGAAGCTGAATTATCGAAAACAGATGTCAGCGCCGGCAGGAGGCCCAACCCACTAAAGACGGATCATGGGGAACTAATGCCATTCTTGGACGGCAAATAGTCTTTTGTTCCTTTCCCCGCTGCTGCCGTGAACTTCTTGGCATGCAGCCATATAGCCAAAGGGGCTGCCGGAGCCATCCGATGGCTGCTGGATCAGCGCCCCCCTCCTCAGCTTCAATGCCTCCAGGTCTTCTCTGCCAGCTGACAAAGCATGCAGCCCAATCTTTTAGGGTGGGGTGGGGGCTTCTGCCTGGATTCAAAGGCCAGGATGCTCTCCTGACCCAGATAGCGCTGGCTTTAAGAATCCTGCAATTGCCAGTAATGAGGAAAGAAGGGGAGGGGAGGATGAAGAAGAAGACTAGGAGGGGAGGGAAGGGTAGATCAGATAATAGGAAGGGAGGGGGAGGATAGACTTAGCTTACCAAAACTTCCCCACAATATTATGATAATCCTTCCCTCATTGTTCAATGACCTGACATGGTGCTTGACAACATTAACATAATGGTGCTAAAAGAAAAAACTTGCCACTTGGGAAAGGAAAAGCCAGATTACCTTCTGACAACCATCAGAAACAGACAGTGAGAGAAAGAAAGGGAGGGAGAGAACAACAGGTAGGGACACGGGGAGAGAGAGGGAGAGAAGGAAGAGAGAGAGAAGGAAGAGAAAGAAGGAAGAGAGACAGAGAGAGAAGGAAGAGAGATAAGGAAGGAAAGAAGAGAGATAGACACAGAGAAAGAAGAGAGAAGAAAAAGAGAAAGAAGAGAGGGAGAAGAGAGAGACACAGAGAGAACTAAGAGAGAAGGAAGACAGAAAAAGAGACAGAGAAGGGAGAGAGAAAGAAGGACAAGAGAGAAGGAAGAAAGACAAAGAGAGAGAGAAGGAAGAGAGAGAGAAAGAGAGAGAGAGAGAATGATGAGAGAGACACAAAGAGGCACACAGAGAGAAATAAGAGAGAAGGACGAGGAAGAGATAGAGAAAGGGAGAGAGAAAGAAGGAAGAGAGAGAAGGAAGAGACAAAGAGAGAGAGAAGACAGACAGAAGGAAGAAAGAGAGAAACTGGATATTCACAAATTTCCACCGCCTGTCTAAGATTTGCATTTTTGACAAGGAGAAGCTTTCCATCAACCGGGAAATCAGATGGAACGAAGAAGAAGGAAGCTTATTTCAAAACATTTATTTCTCTCCAGTTGGATTCACTGGCAGTTCAGCCTCGCTTTGCACCTTCCATAAAACAAGCTAAAGGCTTCATGTGTCACAATAATATCACACACACACACACACACACACACACACACACACACACACACACACCAGCTTATTGACACCAAGAACCAGGCGTGAGCCATGCAACTTGCATCAAGAAAAAGAAAGAAAGCTTTCTCTCTCTATTTCTCTCCCTTTCTCTCTCTCCCTTTTTTCTCTCTGTCTTTCCCTTCCCCCTCCCTTTCTCTTTCTCTTTCTCTCTCTCTCTCTCCCTCTTCTCTCTTTCTCTCTCTTTGTCTCTCTCTCCACATTATTAATTAGAGTCCATTATTATTATTGTTATTATTATTATTAATTAGAATAACTGTTGAGGTCACAGGCGTCTGCTTCCTCCATGCTGCACATCAACACCATGGTTCCTTTCAGGGATCTTTTCCCCTAATTATCCCCCAGGGGATAACAAGGTCAACAAATGTCCTGGACCCCCCCCCCCACTCAAAAAACCCCCCCAAACCTGCTGTTTTTCTAACATGACACAAATAGCCTTAAGATTTGCAGGATCATCAGTCTCTCTTCGCAGGGGGTGGTTGGTGGGACAGAGAGCTGAGAAAGGAACTGGCTGACTCAGCAGCCAACCTGGAAGAAAACTCATTGTGCCAGTTGTCGTTTTCACAGCTGTCTCTCACCCGTTTGACTCGCTCAACTCTTCAGCCGGTCATTGAAAGGCCAACGAATCGCAGACAGAACCGAGCAACCCCCGAGCCATGAACTTGCAAGTGTATCTTTGTGGAGACAGAGCCGGGGTTGGATTCAGCTGGTATGGACCGGTTCGGGCAAACCGGTAATTCCAGCGATGAGTTGACCCATAGTCCGTCCTATATTTTCGTGTTTTGACAGCCCAGATGATTTGTGTGGCACAGCAGTTGTTTTACTGACCGGGGCTGTAGCAGAAGGTAAGTTTTAAAGCTGAAAACGGGTGGGTTTTCAAGTGCCGTGTGCATGGGCAAAGCACACATTCACCAAACCGGTTGTTACACCAGTTTGTCATGAACTGGAATAGATCTTTGTAACAAGGTCAGCCAATGAGAGCTGAGTTGAGGGCTGAAACGTAAAGAGAGAGAATCTGGATGTGGTTTATCTCTGTTCTGTGCTCAGTTCTACAGTGAAAGAGAAACTAACTTGCTTGCTTGCTAAAAACTAGAGCTCTGTTCTGAACCTGTAACATGTCTGCTTCTGTTTGAGTTTGCTCCATCTTGGAGAAATCTACAACTGGTATTGTAAAGTTTACTTCATATGTTTATAAAGAAGTTAAATGAAGCCTCAGTCATCTGTGTTTACTTTTTTGGTGCTGAATGTATGCTGCAATACTATGAACACACCTGAATCCCACCACTGGATGGAACCGTTTCTCTGCCGCCACCACTACACACCCATTCTTTCCATCCTCCATGGTCTTGCTTGACTTCTTTTTTCCCCCTTTTAATCAATCTGCAAGGCCTGTCCATTCTCCAAACTCCACGTTGCTTCTCAGAAGGAAGTTGTCTTGCACTGAGGCTTCATTGTGCCCTGCCACCCTTGATATTGTTTTTCAAGAATTCTTGACACTCAAAACCCACCATCTACTTTGGGGAATATAAAGAAGGAAAGATGAATGTTTCAGATGCTTACATACACACAACCCCTCAAAAAAAAAAAAAAAACCACCTGCCTTCGTCTACACGCAAATGTATCCTACCCATTGTTCATAAGAAGATCTGGTGGGAACTTAGCTTACCTGAAGGTCATCTGGAAGACCTGCCCTTGATTGACGTGTTGGGTCCTGTTGTTGTAGCCATGAAGCATTTCTCCAAAGAGCGTGTCGTTGAAGTTCACATCTGACTTCAGACACTTGGGACCCTCACAGATGTCGGATAACAGGAGGCAGGACTTGCCATCTGGAGCCATCTTATACTCCTCGACGCAGCTGAAGACCAAACACAGAGAAAAGTCCTCAGCATCGATTCACCACACCACGGAACAAGCCAACTAACTCACCCATTTCATAAAATGCCCTATCAGAAATCTAACCTCATGCCTGCACCCTGTTATCGTTCAGTGCCAGTCTGCCCACGGACCATGGAAGGAGGGTGGAAAGGAGAGAATGGCTGAGGGGAAAGTGAAACTGGTGAAAATAAGAATGCCTCTCAGAGGTGGTGCTTCAAGGCTGTTTCCCTGGGAGAAGAATGCAGCTGCAAGACAGTTTACACTCAAGAGTGACTGTTTCATAAACATTGTCTTTGGAATGGATTGGATGCTGGGAGGATCAACATCTGCACCTCTATAACTGTCTGGTTTGGTTCTGTAACCCAACAAGACAGACACGGACTTCAGAGGGTAATTAGGACTGCAGAAAAAAACAATGGCTATCAACCTGCCTTCCATGGAGGACGTGTATACTGCACGAGTCAAAAAGAGGGCTGTGAAAATATTTACAGACCCCTCACATCCCAGACATAAACTGTTTCAACTCCTTCCCTCAAAATGATGCTATAGGGCACTGCACACCAGAACAACTAGATACAAGGACATTTTTTTCCTGAATGCCATCACTCTGCTAAACAAATAATTCCCTCAACACTGTCCAAAGTCTGCAGTATTATTACTGTTAATCTTCTCATCACTCGTTTATCATCCATCTCCTGCCACTTGTGACTGCATGGCTGTTACTTTGTCACTTCTATCCTTATGATTTTTACTGACTATTTCCTAGTAAGATTTGATTGCTTATCGTACCCTATGACTATCATTAAGCGCCGTACCTTATGATTCTTGATGAATGTATCTTTTATTTATGTACACTGAGAGCATTTGCACCAAGGCAAATTCCTTGTGTGTCCAGTCACACTTGGCCAATAAAGAATTCTATCTATCTATAGAGGGGGAATCAACAACAGGAAGTGCCTAGAAGGGGGACAGTTACACCTAGGGATTTGGCATGCAAACTTCAGTTCTGGCTTTGCTTTATTGTAATCCACTTGCCCTTTAGTAAACTATACCTTTATCAACCGATGGAGTCAAGGATGGTTCTTACTTAAAGGTACAAGTTGAGGCAGGACCGACATACTCACTATAGGTAATCAAATGACAACAGGACAGGTCTGAGAGCACGTACTACTTGCTTAGATGTTCTCCATTTCCCCTCCCTCCATTGACTGTGCCTTCTTGCCACTGGTTATATGTTAATTAAATAAATATTAAACTCAGTTGCCTTTTCTTTTTCCTCAGCACAAAAATAAATTAAAACAAGACCCAGGTCTAGGGTGCAGAAAGTCCCTCTGGCAATTTAGGTAGAATAAGAAATACTCTGAGGTTTTGAAAAATAGGGCCCTACTTGATGCATTTTCCTCTCTATCTCCCTTTTTCCCTGAGCTGTAAAACAATTCACACAAAACCAGGAAGTGGTGAACCCAACACCCCAGGGAACCGCCGCGAAGGGCTGCAACACAACAAAATTGCTGCCACCTGCGCACCTGGTGGTGTCAGGATTTGACAGATGTTTCATGGCGTCGCTTTTAAGGAAGTGCTTCTCTGGTGCAGAAAAGTACCCTTCGCGTTTTGCTGAAGGTCAAAAATGAAGTGGAGGTGCTAGATTTTGCCAGGAACTGAAGCAGCAAATAAACCGGAGGAGGAAATGCAGGGAAAGGAAGTATATTGGCATAGCTGTGTCCAAGAGAACAGTATTGAACAAAACACAAGAGCTCTTGAAGGTGAGAAATATCCCTTATTAGTGAATGTGTGAGCAGGGTGCATGTCGTGCGAAGAATGTGGAAGCCTCATGGAAACATGGACCCATGTTTACAAAATACTTCCTGAGACATATGCCTTCCCTGCCTACATTAACAGAAGTATAGAATCAAGTTCTATACAGAGACAGAGACAGATCTGCCTTCCAAAAATATTTAACTAGGGGAGGTTAAACGTGAGGCTGTCAGGTTTTCTTGGAGAAAGTCTTTGAGAAACAGAGGGATGACAAAATCAGAAATGAAGAGGTGATAAGTCACTCATCAAAACCATAAAAAAGTGAAAGTTAGAATATTTTGGTCATGTGATGTGACACCCAGAAAAATATGGCATACTTCACTTAGTCCTCCAAGGAAAGATTGAAGGCAAACAAGGTCCAGGCAGAAGAAGAACATCAAAATCTAAGGGTCTGGTTTGGACAAAACTCAACAGCACGAAGAAGAAGAAGAAGAAGAAGGAGGAGGAGGAGGAGGAGGAGGAGGAGGAGGAGGAGGAGGAGGATGATACAAGATTATGTGAAGTGTTGCTATTGCTTTGGTAAGACCACATCTGGAATAGTGCATCCAGTTTTGGTTGCCACATTACAAAAAAGATGTTGAGACTCTGGAAAGAGAACAGAGAAGAGCAACCAAGAAAATTAGGGGATTGGAGGCTAAAACATATGAAGAACAGTTGCAGGAATTGGGTACGTCTAGTTTGATGAAAAGGGGTGACCTGGTAGCCTTTAGAACATTAGCCCCTCTTTCTTACCCACAGAACATGTGGATGGTGCTGGAGGTTGGGTCCCACAGGAGAGGGAGAGTTTGTTGAAGGCACAGCTGCTCGCAACCACCATTGAAGCCGTCTGAGCAATCAATCCCCTTTGAGTAGTCGTAGCAGCCGGTCCCATCTTTCATGGGTCTCAGGTCCTCAGGGCACTGCAGGAAGAAGAGAAGGAAAGGATAATTTAGGTGAGGTGGGAGACCATCGCGTTGGGCTACCATGGTGTCTGCTGATGTGGGAAGGGTGCAAAATACTGGCCAAGGGGGGACAACGATCGTTGGTGGACCTGCAAGAAAATTCAGAACACAACAATGTGGTTCATCTTCCGAGACTTCATTTTTGTGGAAGGTTCTTGATTTAGTACCAACAAAGGAGAATATTTCTAGATCAGGATTAAAATGGAGGGAGGGAGGGATGCTTGGTGCTGTCTGAGATTGGTTGTTTCTTTGTTAGGCGTTTCATCAGTTTGTGTAATGAAATGTCTGTAAGAAAACAACCAAGCTCAGAAAGCACCAAGGACTCCCATTCTTTGATTTGGACCAACTTTGGGTGATTCCTGGGGTTTTCCACACTTTTACAGAACTCTTCAGCACAACAGAAGCCACAGGGATCACCCATGCACCAATCAGAGCATTTGCACCAAGACAAATTCCTTGTGTGTCCAACCACACTTGGCCAATAAAGAATTCCTATTCTATTCTATTCTATTCTATTCTATTCTATTCTATTCTATTCTATTCTATTCTATTCTATTCTATTCTATTCTATTCTATTTGTTTGTTTTATTTGTCAAAAGCTTACAATATAACAGAAACAAGAATAAACATAAGTTTAAATACAAGAAATAGGAACTAATAATTGGGGACAATAGGATAGGGACGGTAGGCACGATTGTGTGCTCATTCTTGTTCTTCCTTCAAGTGCTTTGGAGAATAGCTTGACTCCCTCTTCTTTAGGGTAGCCCCTGAGATATTGGAAGACTGCTATCATGCCATCCTTAGTCCTTCTTTTCACTAGACTAGACATGCCCAATTCCTGCAACCATTCTTTGTATTTTTTATCCTCTTGTCCCTTAATCATCTTTATTGCACTTCTCTGCACTCTTTCCAGAGTCTCAGTATCTTTTTTCTACATTGTAGCCGCCCCACAACGTAAAAACGGTGCGGCTGCCGCAATGTACATTGCGACAGACGCCCAAGATGTTGGGATTCAAATAGAGCTGTTCTCATGTTCTAACCAGGGAGCCCGGCCTCTCTTAGAAGAGCCCTTAATGCATTTATTCCCAGCCGAAAAATTGGACAGCGGTTTTTAATTTTAGTTTCCCAGCAAGCATTTTCCAATACTGAGTGGTTAAAGTGGGCATTCATCAATGCCCTCCCTTATTAAGCAGAACTCTTATCTTCCCTTGCAACCCCTCCTATTATTTACTTCTCTGAAACCTGTGGAAAGAGGAAGGGGCGTGGAGGGGAATGGAAAGAGGGGAAAAACAGACCACTCTCTTTGGATGATAGGAAGAAGGTTACAAATGGGGCTGACCCACAGTTCCAGCAAATGCCTGACGGGGTTCCTGAATAGGAACAAAAATCCCAGCTAGCTCAGAGCTGCGAGAAGGCAAGTTACAAATGCAAAGCCAAGCTGGAAAAGAAACACATTTTAAATAATAATAATTGACAAACACATTTACATATTTGCAGCGTCTGACCGCTGGATATTTGACCATTGCTGTCTTCCAGCTCCTTCCAAGTTTGTGTTGTTGTTTTTTTTAAAAAAATGTTTGCACAGAACATATGAACTAAAGTCGCCGGGAGGCAGGCAAGCATCTAAATGTAATTTATTGTTATTGTTCTTTGTACTTCTGCCAACAACTCATTGGAAATCCCAACCTTGTCCTCTGCCTTCTGAACCAGAACTGAGAATCCCAAAGACCCGCCAACCCCATCGTAAATCACAACCGGATCTGGCCGGGCAAAGTTCCTGGCGTGATTTCAAGGCTTGCCATGATGTATTTATGGGTTAAATAAACCCTGGATCATCGTGATTAACTTAATATCGGCAGAACTGTTTCCCGGTTCCAAACCGGGCAGTCTCTAATTGCAAGTTCTTCATCTTCTGGCTCAAAGGAGGTGGGATGCCAAGAGAGAGGGGAGAAAAAGTTTGAAGGAACGCTGACCTCGCGGAGTATATGGGTTAGAAATGTGTGGGGAGCAGATCAAGCGATTTTTCTTCTAGAACCGTGAACTCGACTCCAATGACTTTGCCTTAAAAGTTGGAAGGGACCTTGGAGGTCTTCTAGTCTAGCTCCCTGCTCAAGCAGGAAACTCTATGCCATTTCAGACAAATGGGTTGTCCGATGTCTTCTTAAAAACCTCCAGTGATGGAGCACCCACAACTTCTGGAGGCAAGCTGTGCCATCCATCTGTCTGTCCGTCTGTCCGTCCATCCATCCATCCATCCATTTATCTATGTCCATCCATCCATCCACCCACCCACCCATCCTTCCATTCATCCATCCATTCACCTACCCACTCATCCATCTACCCATCCATCCTTCCATCCATCCATCCATCCATCCATCTACCCACCCACCCACCCATCCATCCTTCCATCCATCTACCCATCCATCCATCCTTCCAT